GGCCTGCATTTATGTGGGTGGGAAACCACCGGCTAGTGCCAATTACAGTATATATCAAACGCACTGATGTATGCTATATATCTCTTTCACTTAAACATCAATCGCACTGATGTATGCTATATATCTCTCCCAATTATACATCAGACGCATTGATGTATGCTATATATCTTCAACTATGCATCAAACGTACTGAAGTATGCTATAACTCTTTAATAAAGTTTGAATATCCAGATCTATTTGCGCTGGAATGCATCCAACAATTATATCACATGCGTACAGTTCTTTTCGAAAAACGTAATTTGAATAGTGCATGTTCGAAATTTACGTTTCTGGTACGTAACTACCTTATATATTTTGAGTTGTTTTTTTTTTGATTTTTTTTTTTTAAGGGTTGGGCTTAGGGTTAGAATTGATAATTAAAGTGTATATGTGGATTTTAGTAGTGCTTATATTTTCAAATTGAGTCCCCAAATTTCAGCATTAGCTGCGACAATTATTAACAATAAAAAGGCTTCATTTTGATAATTAATTGGTTTTTTTTTTTTTTTACCTAAATTTATGAATATGTTTCTGTGTTTTTGTCACTTTTATTTTATTTATTTATTTATTTTTTGCTGATCGTTAAAGATTAAAATGAACGATAAGAATTTAGACACGCATTTCTAAATTTAAATTATCCATGTGGATATGAAACATTATTAAGACTTGATTCTGTAACATAACATTATGCTATTAATAAGGCAAGTATTGTATTTTTCGAAGCGTTATAAAAAAATGTAGGAACGAGCTTGAAAAAGGTCGAGCGAAACGAAGCTGAAAGTAGCAGAAAATAAATGCAGTGTTGAGTCAGAAAAGATTCTGGCAAAGCGAGACCGGAAAAGAGCTGTATAAAATTAGTTTATTAATAATGTTAAAAAAAAAAATGTAGAGCTGGGTTTCAAAAGAGACCGAGATATATACCAGGAACAGTGTGGTACATAAATAGCAATTTAATGTCTTCACTCCACAAAGTCTTACCTCGATGATTTATTTAACACAATAGGGTTATGGATGCATATTTTTGTTTCTTAAAGAACTGCACGTATGTAAATCATAGTCACGTCTTTCGCTTTTATAGCTGAATTTGTCCTAAGCTCAACTCAACAGCTTGTAATATCGAGTATGCATAGTTTTTTTTAATTGTAGTAACAGTGCTTAAAATTAAAATAAGAATTAATATATTAGATTGTGTAATTTAAATAAGTTCAACAAAAATTATACATAAAAGCAACTTCCTAATATAGTATTAATCTATCGTTTGATAATTAATTCTTATTTCATTATCTAAAGCCATCTAAATCAAACCTTATTAGAAGTGTGAAAAGGCAGCAGCACTTCTATACTTTTCAAATACATTATATCCTGATATATTTATATCTTTGTACTCCCTTATCTTTCCAACTTTTTACACAATGCTTTTCAAGACATTAGCACTTTACCCGATTATCGCAATACTGGTTTTGTCTATTTATGAACTATCATTCTACTATTCCCTCCCTAACATTAGACAAATTGTATAGTTAATAAAAAATTTGTTTTCATTTTACATTAAAATTTGAATCAAAAATAACGCATTCATTATTTTGTGATACAGTAGAACCAAATTTGTTCGTAGGTTTTGAACCTTTTAAACGGTTTATAAACTGATATGAACTTATGGCATTTGCACAATCATTTAAAGGTCCAGAATCATACTTAGTTATTTTGTTAGCTTTTTTAAAAATTTTTATATAACAACTTTCCTTTATCCAACTATCTAAATATTTTTGAAGATCATTTGCTGAAGGACGTTCAGATGCATTTGCATCCATGCA